TTTGGTTTTTTCACCTGGCTTCGGGCACCTTTAAGTTGGCTCGAGGTGAGTGCCCTAGAAACCACATACGAATGGCCATACTGGGTCAGACCAAAGGTCCATCTAGCCTACAGTGACTAGCTGGGAATAAACAGTGCCTTTGGAAAATCTTGGTCAACGGCTCTAGTTTTAATCCACATTAATATTTGTCTCACTCGCCAGAAATGAAAAAGCCTTTAAAAGTCAAACACAGCTAATTCCTGTAAAATATCAATCTATAATTTAAAATGTCATTGTTTGACTGAAATAACAACAGTCATAAAAATCAATCAGTTCAAGATGACTCTTTATTTGGAAGCAATTTGGCTACAGATGGATTTTTTTTTAAACCCCAATGTACCAAATGCCCGGCAGCGTCACTCAAAAAGCTATATTACTTTTATGAACAGAGTGTGGAATTGTGATGACTATTTAGCATTATTTATCTTAGACAGGAATTCAGTCCAAAGATTATAGAGAACAAGCATCCATCGAAAGGAAGTGTTTACACAAACTAATCCAGTCTGCAGAACCACTATGTGACTAGCATTGCAGAAACCGCGCCACTACGATCAATATGCTCTTGATATCTGGAAATCACAATGGTTCTTATTCTGGACTCTGGCACCTGTTCTTCTTGGACAAAAATCCATTAATTGCAAAAGGCAGACTTCTGCTTTGCCTCTGTGCAAAGGAGAATCAGGCCCAATGTGTGACCGGTTTATAAAAACCAAAACGATTTTAAATGATTCAGCAACATGGAGGTAAAGGAGAATCAGGCCCAATGGGTGACCGGTTTATAAAAACCAAAACAAAACCAAAAGGATTTTAAATGATTCAGCAACATGGAGGTCTACATGTTGCTAACGGATGTAAACGCAGGGTGTGTGTATCACTACGCAACCACAGACTGCCTTGGTGTGGTGTGAAGGATGCCTTCTGTCACCCAGGACCTGCTGCAATGGCTTCTCAATGAACATGCCTGGAGAAGTTGAGTGACCAAATTCTTCCACCCCAACCAAATTATGAATGGCTCTAGCACTTCTTATGTCACAAGGCCTTCCTCTCAGCTAGGGATGTGAATGACTTATCAGATAGTCGACCGACTAGTTGACTAGTTGCTCCTCCCCCTTTTGCTATCAGAAAGAGGCAGCGTGGGGTGAGCGAAGAGGAGGGAGTGCTTCAAAGCAGCAGCACCACATGGAGACCCTGGGCTCCATGCAGCGTTGCCACTTTGAAATGCCACGTGCAGCCCGGGGCTAGCTGGGAGTCCCCCGCTGGCCCCATGTTCCCCGCAATGCTTTTGCCTTTGAAGTGTAGTAACAGCGCTGGTGTTCTTGCTACACTTCAAAGGCAGAAGTGCCCTTAGTCACTAATAGAATAGTTGATGCAAATTGCACCGACTATTCGCTTAGCAAAATAATCGAAATTTTACATCCCTACTCCCAACGTCCCTCACCTCTCAAAACAGGAATCAGTCCCATTACTCCTTCTCTTACACTGGCCCCAGACATAACCCTAGCCCACTAAGGCTATGTCTACACTGCTGGCTTATTGTGAAATAACAGAGTGCGCATCTACACAGCAAGCCAGTTATTTCAAAATTATTTCAAAATAACGAGCGTCTGACTCCGACTTTTGTAACCCTCATTTCACAAGGAGTATAGGACGGCGAAGGAAGAGTGTGCTTCCTTCAACTTCCCGCTGTGTCGGCGAAGGACGAGTGCGCTTCCTTCAACTTCCCGCTGTGTAGACAGCGTCTAAAACCAAGTTAAGCTACTTCGACTTCAGCTAGGCAATTAACATAGCTGAAGTTGAGTCGCTTAACTCAACATTAGCCCGCAGAATAGATGTACCCTAAATGGGCCGTTCCTAGTAAAGACCTGGGCTCAGAAAGATTCCTCACACGCACTTCGGCCATAGGCCAAGCTCTGTTCACAAGGCTAAAAGTGCTTAGACTTCATGAACTGTCCCTAACCCAGCCCGAGCCTATTAACCATAGTACTCTCCCAGGCCCTCACTATAGCCTACTCAGTGTCAGTGCACGCAGTAGGGGTGGGGCTGGAACTAAGGTTTGCACTGGGATGGGCTTGTTGGCCTGGGTGAAAGAGCAGCTCAGTCCATGCAGCTGAGCTGGACACACTACCGGGGCAGTTTATAAGCTAAGGAGCAGGTGGCGTTTGGATCCCTTTGGTGAGCCAGGGCTAAGACGTGGCCTCTGGCTGGTAGGGGGTGCCCAGCGGGCGTGAAGGGTTCCGTGCTTTGTGTTTGGGCTTAGGGTTCCACCTGGCAGGTGTCTGACCAGCCTGGCTGTGTTCTTTTCCATGGATTTGCCAGCAAAATAATTGAATTTGCCAGGGAAGAGGGGGGAGGGTAGGGGTTATAAGGCTAACAGTTTGCATGGTTCTCACTGGGCCCTGGGACAGATAATGTTAAATGTTTGTGTGTCCAGTTGAAGAGGCTTCAGTATGCCACATCAAGTAAGCCACTGATATTATCAGGCTTCTCTAGATGCAGTGGCTCAAGAAAAATCAGTTTCGTACTGGTACAAGGAGGAGGGGAGGGCACTAGATAACAGGGAGAGCTATGACCTCCTCATGTGATTCCACCCTGCCCCGAGCCTGGGGTCTCCACACTCTTCCCTTTCTCTCCCCTTCCCACATTACCGGGGGAGGGGGAGAGGGATCTGGGGGGCAGTACAACAGCTGGAGTCCCAGTCCTGCCACCTACACAGATCTGCTTCTTCTCTGGTCCTGTACCGCCACAATCCTGCTGGGGGCAATATTCCCTCTCATGTTTTCCATCCTTGTGCAGAGTAAATTTTGTTAGGTGCACTGAAGCATGTGCACCACCAGTAGAAACACATGCTCCTGGCTACTGCCAGCTCTGGGTGCTCTGCTAATCAGCTGGGCAGCATGTGAATCTCTCCTGGTGGCCACCCATGCGCTCAGCTTACAGGGAACACTGGCTGGGAGTGCTGCCCCATCCTTGATAGCAGGGACAGGCAGCAGGGAAAGGAGCAGAACACCAGCAGCCCACCCTGCCGGCTGCTTTACCACTCCCAGTCCCTTTCTCCCCAGCCCTGATCTGAGCTACACGTCTGCACAGAGACAGAGCCGGAGGAGAGGCAGCTCTGCGGAGGGGCTGAGGGTGCTACAGTGTTGTGCTGGTACAATGTACCAGACTGGACCAGCCTGCTTGCACTGCTGTCTATGTTATCTCTGTGGATACTATAAGTGGCTGTTGAAGAAGATAGGGGTTGCGGCATTGTCTTGAGGTTAGGCAGGATTGCCTTGTGTGTGTGTGTGTGTGTGTGGCGGGGGTGAGAGGGAGGGTGTGGAGAATAGAACATAAACATAAGAACGGCCATACGGGCTCAGACCAATATGTAGCCCAGCATCCCGACTTCTGACCATAACTATGCCAGGTGCCCTGGAAAAGGCAATCAGCTAGTGATCCATCCCCACACCCATTCCCAGCATCTGGCAAACAGAGGCTATTGACACCATCCCTGCCCATCCTAGCTAACACACATGGATGGGCATATCCTTCCTCAACTTATCTAGGTTTTTTAACCCTGATCTAGTCTTGGCCTTCACAACCTCTTCTGGCGGGGAGTTCCACAGACTGACTGTGCACTGTATGAAGAACAACCTCCTTTTGTTTGTTTGCCTATTAATTTTATTTGGTGACACCTACTTCTTGTGTTATGGGAAGAAGCAAATAACACTTCATTTTTTTCTCCTACTTTCTCTACGCTTGTAATGATTTTATAGACCTCTAGCATATCTATCTTTTGTCATCTCTTTCCTAAGTTCAAAAGTTCGTTTTATTAATCTCGCCTCATATGGAAGCTGTTTCATACTCCTAATCATTTTTCTTGCCTTTTTGCAATTCCAAGCTGGTTCATTTGCATTTCAAAGGTAGTAACCCTAAGTGTGGTAACACGAACTAAGTGTAGCATTTGGTCAACATCAGTGGCCTAAGTTGTGATTGGGATAGATTCTGCGGTGCCAGCTCAACTTACAGTGGGTTGATTTGATGAGGAAGGGTGGGAGGTGGGTCAAGGTTAGGGTTAAGCTTATGGATATTCTGTAGGCCTGACCTAAGGCTGGGAATGTATATAGTGGCCCAGGCTGTGCATTGATGTGGGCAGGTTCAGCTGGGTTAAGGAAATTTTGGTGGTTTTGCTTAGTTTTAAGACTGTGCTCTGCTTGTGAGGCCATGTTAGTTTTAACAGTGGGGTCTACATAAAAATTATGGGTGTAATCAAACTTTGTTTGTCTGAGCAATTGACTGAAAAAGAAGTAGTGGGTTAAGGAAATTTTGGTGGCTTTGCTTAGTTTTAAGATTGTGCTCTGCTTGTGAGGCCAGGTTAGTTTTAGCAGTGGGGTCTACATAAAAATTATGGGTGTAATCAAACTTTGTTTGTCTGAGCAATTGACTGAAAAAGAAGTAGGACTGAATGGACGTTAGGCTCCAAAGTTTTATGTTGTTTTGGTTTTGACTGCAGCGATGTAACAAAAATCTGTATTTGTAAGTTATGCTTTTACAATAAAGAGATTGCACTGCAGAACTTGTAGGACGTGAACTGAAAATATTATTTCAATTGTTTATCATTTTTACAGTGCAAATATGTGTAATCAAAAATAATAATGTAAAGTAACCTTTGCATTCTGTTGTAGTAGAAATTAATATATTTGAAAATGTATAAAAAATATTCAAAATATTTAATACATTTCAGTTGGTATACTATTGTTTAACGGTGCAATCAATTTAAATTAATATTTTGTTAATCGTGTGAGTTAATTTCAATTAATCAACAACCCTAGTTTTAATAAATTCCAAACCTTAATGTGAACCTTTAGTTCACTTCATATTTTAGAGTTCTAAGATTCTTGATTGGGTGCTTTAAAATGACTCCACTGCCTTTTCAGTACCACCTTGTAAAAATGTCAAATAATTAAATTTTGAAAGAAAACGCATGTCTAATAACTTTTGATACAGATGCAGGCTGGAACTAAACAAACATACAAATCAAGCCTTTGAAGGCTTTACCCCTCCCCTTTTTGCTAACAAAAGCACAGCTGTGAAGTTGCACAGCGGAAATGGTTTTTTTTAAAAAAGGCAACTAAATAGTATGTAGATTAACGTTTCTTTACAAAACAATTTATTGTGGTTATTTACACCTGTTCCTTTGTAAGTGTATAAATGTAAACATTTATTATTGATGTGTTTATCATTTATTTTATAATTCATCCCCAGTTCAGAGTATTACTGTCATTTTAGCATACAAGTAGTGAGAAAATTAAATTATATTCACAGAATATACATTCACGTGCAATTAAATAGTCACCAGCTTTAAGCCAGTGGTATAGACACTGTCCCATTGGCTCTACTTCTACTCCTTGTATGCACACTGGAGTCTGTGATGTCTTCTGCGTGGTCTTCACTTTTCTTTTCCTTTAAGCTGTTGATGAATCGCAGGGTGATTTCATCCCATTCTTCGGGCAGCAGCATTAGCAAAAACCCAGTGCAGATGATGATGGTCGCACCCAACCGTACCACACTGAAGATCACCTCATGTTTTAGGAGATCCACAGCTACAATGAGGGAAAAGACAATGAAGGCAAACACTGGCTTTCTGCTTGACAGGGTGTTGTCACAATAAATCTTGTATGTTTCCTATTACTTTAACTGGGAGTTTTATTGGAAAGTCTCACTCTTCCTCCAGACCTTCTGTTTTAATAATACTGTGTGCTATAATGCATGAAGGCTAGACTGTAGAATTCACACCAGGCATGGAGAGTTACAGGCTAGTCTTTGGTCACTTTCTCCTTACAGCAAAGAGGAAGTATTCTGAGCTAGGGATGTAAAATCCCGATTAAACGATGAAAGGGTAGACGAGCAGAGGGATGCTCCAGCCTGGCCAGAGCAGCCGCTGGAGTGGTCCACTCCACTGGTTAAGCTTAACTCACCCATTAAAGGGTGAGGCTTACTAGTTAACTGGTGAAACCTTCACATCCCTACTCTGGGCTAGTCCTATACTGGCAGAGATTACTCCTCCATCTGCACTGGCTCAACTGTGCCAGCCAATATATTAGGGAGGTCAAGTCAAAGCTCCACCCATGTCCCATCTCTGCCCTGCCGCAGATCAGGGATACAGAGAGCCCACCCAAGTGCACAACCAGGCCCGTAGGCTGTTAGGGGCGTTGGACTGGAAAATCATATACTGACTTTTAATTTACCAGTGAAAAGCTCCACTTCCAAAATTTAAACCTTTTGCACATCTCTTGAGTTGGCAGCTTCATGTTTCTTTGCAATGGGACCTACATCTCTGAAGAAATATGGCAACATAAAATTACCTCAAATGTTAGGGCATTTTTATTCATTAATTGCAGTATTTGTACCTGCATTTCCAGGAACACTGAGCACGGTCCCGATGGAAATTAGGATGGGGTACGTCAGCACAACTCCAACATTCACCAATACGTTAAATGCTGGAAAGGAAGAAAACGATGCATCAGATGCTGGAAGTAATAAAAGAACAACACGTGGACTTTCTCAGCTCGCATTAAAAGTGCATCAGGCACGCTAAGCAGTTCTTGCCCGTCAAGCCCCTGATCCTGCCTGTCCCGTGGGCGGAACAGGAAGGGATGTTTCACTTGGGGAGAGAAGGGTTGGCTGTAAGTTCAAAACGGCTCATTCCGAAAGGGTCACTTCCCTCTTTTGATGCTTGAACTGAAGTCAGAGGAAGCACTTTCCACCCGACCCACAGAAGCAACCAGAATTGTTCTCAAACAGGCTCGTTCCTCTTGAGTCCGGGGGGCGGGGGGGAGATTCTGCTGCCTCAAGGTGCCTGGAACAGAGCGGGGCAGCCTGCCACCAGTGAAGGAAGTGCTGTCGTGGTGACACACTCCAAGAAAGGCGCACGGCAGAGGCAGGCACGTAGGCCAACCAGTTCTGAAGGCTGTCCCTCTGAAGCCTTGTCCCTTTTATACTGGAAAAGGAAGGGCGTCAACTACTCCATAGTTCATGGGGAAATGGCCAGTGGACAAGATGAGTGGGCAGCGTAACCCAAGGGGGGCTCTGAATCCCTTTTCACAGGCTTTAAAAGTGCAGGTACCTGTTAGTGTATGGGGGGGGGTGCTTTTTGGATGCATAATCCCTTATACATAGGGCCAGCGCTGCCAAATGGAGGAGGATGCCAAGCCAAAGATTATAAGCTAGTGGAGCACCATGACACTCCCCCCCTCCTTTTAAAGGGGTTTTAAAGTGTAGGCAGTTGAAGGACAGGGCAGGTTATACTGCACTACAGTGAAACCTTTGTTATCTGGCCCTCTGTTAACCAGAAAACTTTGTTAACCAGCATTGCCCCCATACACAATACTGTCACATCTTCAGGCACACAGGCCTGGCTTGGTTTACCATGATTGGCTTAACAATTTTTTATTTAAGAAATACTAATCATCTTTAACTCAGAACAGAAATGTGAGACCAACTGCCACACACTACAAAACTACCAATATTAAAAACCTGAGTTTTACTATTATTGTCCATTGGTTTTTCTTAGGTTGATGGGACCCGCAGATAACCAGAATCTTTAGATAACCGGAATGCCCTAATCCCCGAGCATGCTGGATAACACGGGTTTTTCTCAAGTTGTGGTGAGAGAGGTCCAGGTTGGATATTAGGAAAAAGTATTTCACTAGGAGGGTGGTGAAGCACTGGAATGGGTTACCTAGGGAAGTAGAGGAGTCTCCATCCCTAGAGGTGTTTAAGTCTCAGCTTGACAAAACCGTGGCTGGGTTGATTTAATTGGGATTGGTCCTGCCTTGGGCAGGGGGCTGGACTTGATGGCCTTCTGAGATCTCTTCCAGCTCTATGATTCTATGATCCAGCATTCATGCGGGGACCGGCTAGGTTCAGGCTCATCAGTCTGTTTTCCATTTCCTGCTTCCCCTTAGCGTTGCAACTTCTTAAGCCTCACTCACTTTGCGCCAGGATTATTTCTATTAGGCACTGCTGCTACCACCACCCCTCAGTTATACATCACCTCTGAATGCAGCTACGTTAGCTCTCCCTGAGAGCTGGGGCTGAACCCTTAGGTGCAGCCAAACTGTGTCCCCATTCCCCAGTTCTTGAGCCGGGTAGCAGACACTTTGGCTGCAGTGCAAATAAGAGCAGCCTCCGGGCTGCTGCTGCAAATTGCACTTGCTGGAAACAGCTCCCAATGAGCCGTTCTACTAGTGAGGGAGTGATGCGGCACTGTAGTGCCTTGCACCCATGTCAGGCTCTCCATGGCCACCCCTCCTGCTCCTACACTGGTATCATCAGGAAGGAGGGTAGTGCACAGCTGGCGACACTGAGCATTTTATGCTGGCTCTCTGCCTGCTTTGTGCAGCTGCCGCGCCATCCTACTTTAACCTCTGTATTCAGCCAGCTCCTTGGATAACAAATGACACCTACCTGGGTGCTCTTAGATATTGCTAGAGTGGATGTAATTAGGTCTAGAGCAGCACGTGGAAGAGAGTGTAATCTCTCAGCACCTCTGCCATCCTTTTTGAATCAGTCTCTGAGTGGCTGCGAAGCCCATCGAGGCATGAACAATAGTTTTCCCCAGAGTGTTTCCATTTAGCGTACTTACAACTGGGATAAAAAAAAAATCAGCTCGTTTCCAAACAGATGGACACTTTTATTATTAGCAAAGGAAACGGAGTGCAAAGCAGACCTGGGTCGATTTCGATAGCTCTCTTCCCAGACCAAGTAGCACCAGAAACAGGGCTTGGAAAGAGGAAATTGCACAGTGGGGGTAGGGGAGCTACAGCGGTGATGCAGGCTCTGCAGCCTTTTGTTTGCACCCAAGTGGGGCCCAAGCTATGGCACAGAGGAGCCCTGATGTAGTAGGCCTCTAGCTGCTAGCACAATCACAACACATAGTTAAATGGGCCGGGCTCCAAGGAGTAACGGGGAGTGCAGATTCAATGCAAGCAGCTACAGCAAGTTTGTGTTAAATTAAGCAAATTGTACCTCAGACAGTGGCCAGAAAGAAGCACTGCTGTACAATACAAACACCAACCTTGGCAGAATGACTAGGGCAGCTCAGTATTTTTTTTTTTTTAATTTAAGACTACCCTACTCCCCTGCCAAAGTTTCCATGAGCTGTATTAACTATTTTCCAAACAGCCCCAGAGGTGACCTTTGGGAGACGAGAAGGAGACTTTTAGCTATAAAAGAACTGCCATTGAAACATTTAAAGAAAGGAGAATTTCCATGGGGGTGGCTGTTTCTAGGTGACCCTGCAATAAATAAAACAAGAGGCATTAGAAAAAGGAAAGAAAAAAGTTTGGCAAGTACCTAACCAGAGGCCAGCCACTCCGCACAGATAACCCCACGGCACGGCAGAGAAGGGAGACCAGTACTCCACTTTGGTAAAATACAGTATGATCGGGGTAAACGAGATGAAAATTAAATTGAAGAAGCCCAGAGTCGAAACGAAATGAGCAGCTTCCCCGAAGTTCGCACTTCCAAGAAACATCTTGAACAGGACCTAGGGTGGAAAGGGAAGATTGTAAAATGGTTATGTCCTGCTGCAAGGGAAGTTCTCCCATGAGGATGGCTCTGCAAAGCTATAGTGGCGAAATGAGCTACCTTTTGACATTTGATAATGGAAGAGCTCTGTAAGAGGGTCTAAGAGATTTCCTCCCCAGAACACTCTCCACTGGGTATTACTACTGAAGGGGATGATTTGGCCCTGTGTTATTAAAGCATTATAGGCCTTTTCTATACTAACCCACCCACCCCCATTGATCTACCCTATGTAACTTTACCTACGCAAATAGTGTACCTGAAGTCAACAAACTAAATGTGGTGTATTCTGTGCAATACGGTCAGTGGAGGCTGCTCTGCTCTCGACTCTGGCTCCTTTTCTCATCCTGGTGGAGTATCAGAGTCAATGGGAGAGTGCTCAGTGCTTGATTTATCACGTCTGAAGCAGACATGATAAATTGACCACCTGCAGCATCGATCCGCCCCATAGTGAAGAGCTCGTGAACACTTAGGCATGTGAGAAGAGCCTGTGGGTTGAGAGGGATTGGTTGTGTGAGGAAGAGTCAATCTGCAGTGGTCCTCATTGTCAGGATGCAACCCTTCTACTGGCCAGCTCCTTTGTGCGCAAGATGCAACTCCTCTCCCACTACTCTCCATGCCTCTATCTGGTCCATCTCCCCAGCACTTCCTTTGTAGCTATACAGCACTTAGCAATTACCTTTTCTTCTCAGAGATTCAGAGCAACCCCAATCCCAGCTAAAGTTAGCCAATGCTTCCAGCCACAGGGCCTTTTGAAAATCAGCTGTCTGAAGCGGGGCACCCAAAATTAGAAACCTGCTTGAAAATTTGGGCTCACTGCTCTAAATCATGAATGCGTTTAAGCCCATACCTCTATTTTACACACTAGGGCTGTGTCCAGACTCAGGGGTTTTTTCGAAAAAAGTAGCCTTTTTTCGAAAAAGCCTCACCTGCGTCCAGACTCAAGCCACGTTCTTTCGAAATTAAATCGAAAGAACGCGGCTTTTCTTTCGATGGCGGTAAAGCTCATTTCACGAGGAAGAACGCCTTCTTTCAAAAGTTCCTCTTTCGAAAGAAGGCGTTCTTCAATGTAAATAGGGCTTCTTCGAAAGAGAGCATCCAGACTCATTG